CCACAACTGTAATTGCCTTCATACATTCCCAACAAGACAAGATTGCAGGAACAAAACTAAGGTCTCCATAACAACCCGGAAAGAAACTTTGGGTAATGGCTTCAAGTGCCACACAAGAAGCCCAAGAGGAAGACTAGGAAAATGAGGAAAAACTAATTACCAAATCTAATTTCAAGCCGCCAAGCCGTGAGCATATAAGCCTAAAAGCCAAGGAGTTTGGAGAAAGAAGATATATGAAACTTCACTATCTACTAGTGCAGAAAGTGTTGTGAGTTTCACCATGGAAAATCCTACAAGTATATATGAAATATTACAAGTATTTGTTTCAAAGGTTATAGTGTATTTAACTCCTTTTTTTAATACTATTTGACATGTTATAGTAGATAATACTTAAAAAAACAATCGGTTTTTAGGAGTCAAATCAAAATTTATTGATGTTTTGTATTTGTATGTGATAGGGGCTCAAATCGGACCAAACCCAAAATTATAGATTAAGCCCAGAATTACAAACCAGACCTAGGACCAACAAATGCCTAGTCACAATTTTAGTTGGGCCATAGCCCACCTACTTGAGAAACCTAGCCCTTCTCCAGCGCACGTGGGAGTCTCCATTCTAGAGGAGGGAATCCGTAAGGGCGCAATCATCAAGGGTACATCTTCGGTANGAAACTTCACTATCTACTAGTGCAGAAAGTGTTGTGAGTTTCACCATGGAAAATCCTACAAGTATATATGAAATATTACAAGTATTTGTTTCAAAGGTTATAGTGTATTTAACTCCTTTTTTAATACTATTTGACATGTTACAGTAGATAATACTTAAAAAAAACAATCGGTTTTTAGGAGTCAAATCAAAATTTATTGATGTTTTGTATTTGTATGTGATAGGGGCTCAAATCGGACCAAACCCAAAATTATAGATTAAGCCCAGAATTACAAACCAGACCCAGGACCAACAAATGCCTAGTCACAATTTTAGTTGGGCCATAGCCCACCTACTTGAGAAACCTAGCCCTTCTCTAGCGCACGTGGGAGTCTCCATTCTAGAGGAGGGAATCCGTAAGGGCGCAATCATCAAGGGTACATCTTCGGTCTTGCAAGATCACCTCGCTGCGAGTTTCAAGGAATCACCCACTTATCACCTTGCCTGTTACAAGGATAGGACGAGCTTCACAGAATCACCACGTACGCTCCCTATTACGAGGATGGTGCCTCCGTCAGAGCCTCTTGGGGGCCAACTTCACTTACCTATAAATTGTAAGCACCGTCTACACGTGGGGGGCATTACACATGTCTCAACACACTACGTTTCTTGAGTAATAAGAATCTCCGGCCACCGTAGCCATTCCCAATGAAGTAGGTCACCCGGATCGAATTACCTAACTTTTGTGTTTACTTGTGTTGATCCCTCTTACTTCATCATTGATTGATTTTGCATAAACCCACTTTTGTCCATCATTAATATATAAACTCGAAAAGAAATGTTATAGATTAAAATTAAAAGTTGTACACCTTGTTCTAGGTACGTATCTAATACGTACCTTCGAGTATCTAACGAGTATCTTATCCGATACGAATACGTAGACCTTAACCAAGTATCCATGCTTCATATTTGAAAAGCAATGAAAAAAGTCTTTAAATTGTCAATCAAGNGCTCAAATCGGACCAAACCCAAAATTATAGATTAAGCCCAGAATTACAAACCAGACCCAGGACCAACAAATGCCTAGTCACAATTTTAGTTGGGCCATAGCCCACCTACTTGAGAAACCTAGCCCTTCTCTAGCGCACGTGGGAGTCTCCATTCTAGAGGAGGGAATCCGTAAGGGCGCAATCATCAAGGGTACATCTTCGGTATTGCAAGATCACCTCGCTGCGAGTTTCAAGGAATCACCCACTTATCACCTTGCCTGTTACAAGGATAGGACGAGCTTCACAAAATCACCACGTACGCTCCCTATTACGAGGATGGTGCCTCCGTCAGAGCCTCTTGGGGGCCAACTTCACTTACCTATAAATTGTAAGCACCGTCTACACGTGGGGGGCATTACACATGTCTCAACACACTACGTTTCTTGAGTAATAAGAATCTCCGGCCACCGTAGCCATTCCCAATGAAGTAGGTCACCCGGATCGAATTACCTAACTTTTGTGTTTACTTGTGTTGATCCCTCTTACTTCATCATTGATTGATTTTGCATAAACCCACTTTTGTCCATCATTAATATATAAACTCGAAAAGAAATGTTATAGATTAAAATTAAAAGTTGTACACCTTGTTCTAGGTACGTATCTAATACGTACCTTCGAGTATCTAACGAGTATCTTATCCGATACGAATACGTAGACCTTAACCAAGTATCCATGCTTCATATTTGAAAAGCAATGAAAAAAGTCTTTAAATTGTCAATCAAGCATGGAAAGGAAAGGCAAATTTGTATCTTCTGCTACCACTCTTACAAAGAAGTTAGGGTGGGAAAGAGAAAGCCAAAGACAATGGGGTGGTCGGTGATGCACTATTAGTGCTGGGTTTGGTTTGAAATATTACCATAAGAATTTTGGTGAAATATTTTAGTCTTATTTAATTTGAGTGAAAATTTATTTATTTTTGATTTGGTATGTGTTTGATTACTGATATCTAAAAACCTTATCTTTTGATAAACCATGGAAACCTTAAGACTAAAAACCTCAAAACTTCTTCTATCATTGTTGCTTAAACTCGCTCTCCAAGATAAATGTTTACTTAGTAGTTGAGAAAGTTTTTATCAACCCGAGAAAAGAACACGTGTAAACTCTAGAGAAAATAACACATGAATCATATACAGGAAGTCAACAACACACTTATTATATTCAACTATGTCTATTTCAAAAGGGTTCTCCCTGCCCNAACCATGGAAACCTTAAGACTAAAAACCTCAAAACTTCTTCTATCATTGTTGCTTAAACTCGCTCTCCAAGATAAATGTTTACTTAGTAGTTGAGAAAGTTTTTATCAACCCGAGAAAAGAACACGTGTAAACTCTAGAGAAAAGAACACATGAATCATATACAGGAAGTCAACAACACACTTATTATATTCAACTGTCTATTTCAAAAGGGTTCTCCCTGCCTCTTGTTAAACATAACCTAGTTATTGTTTTTATGTGTAATGCTACACATATGCTAAATCATTCGTCAAATTCATACACCAAATCAATGTGAACAGTTGAATTGATGATTTTCATTGATTTGATAAAATTATGCCACAAATTTGGTTCTCGATATATAACGCAGAAATTTGGTGTAGCTACTGTCCCCCCCTCCCCCCTCCCCCCAAAACAAAACACACACATAACCGTGTCGGAAATTATTATGGTATCAATTTTTTTTGGGTACCGTACGTACATCAACATAATTTAAGCCATAAATATTTTCTTTGTTTATTTGTAGCATTTCAGCAAGAAATTAAAATTTGAGGAGAAATTTTTGACTGTTGAATTAATTTCAAGTCTATCACAGAAGTTATTATATTTTATAGGGAGTATACATTCAAAGAACGATCTGTTTTATTATAGAAATGTTTACAAAACTCAATGCATGTTTTGCAACTTATAGCCCATTGCATGACTAGTAATGCTGGAACTAAGGCTTGAGGTGCCTCCCACTTTCCTGTTTACAGCTCACTTCAAAGATGCATCTCTTTTCTTTATCAAGAAATTTCATCACACTAGTTTAAAAAATAAACAGTTCAATTCACATACTCCCGTCATTATGGGATATGATAGGATTAGTTGTATGCAATGTTAACTTAGCAGAGCTACATTTAAGTTCATGGACTGAGCAATTTACTACAGCCAAAAACATAGGCTCCTGTCTAGTCTTGCAAGAAACAGCCATAAATTTTGCACTTCCTACCTAAATCACACGATTTGCTTAAGCGCTTCAATGAATTTATATCCCGAATGCAAATCCGTGAATTGAGAGCNGCAAGAAACAGCCATAAATTTTGCACTTCCTACCTAAATCACACGATTTGCTTAAGCACTTCAATGAATTTATATTCCGAATGCAAATCTGTGAATTGAGAGTGAATTCGACACAAATTCGCAAACTCAAAAATTCAAATTTGTGAATTCAATCTTTGCAATTGAAAGAGAAGAATAACTGATAACTAAAAGAACTAGAGAGGTCTTGTTCAAAACCAAAAAAAAAAAAAAACACAAATAAAAACAATTGGAACACGTGTAAGGCCACCAAATGTCCTTACATTATATTTCGAGTTGAATTCGTGTCGAGAGAAACAATAGTTGGTGAGAAATGGTGCCACCAAACTCTATTTGACACTTATTTTTGGTAGGTAATATGGTCATGAATGACTTGGAAAGAAACCAGCTGTGTACCAGCCAGCATAATCTTTTTTATTAATCAAGATATTTTGTGACTGTTTCCAAATATAAGAGTGCAACTTGGGTTTGGTCTTCTCCCTCTTGTTACCACAACCTGAAAGAATAGTAAACAACACACTACTAATAAACCTTTTGACTTTGACCTCAAAAACCTAAGTTAACTCTTGCAACAAAAATAAAGTAATCACAACAACACTTAATGATTTTATACATTCATTTTTGTTTTTCTTCAAGAAAACCGACTACATACTAACTGCTGCTACTGTACAAATTACGATATACAAAGTTTCTAAAATCTCACTATCCTACCCTACCCTACCCTACCCTACCCTTTCCTATCTTAACACATAAGAGAGATACTTATTATTGATATCAATAGGAGTGGTGACATAAGCCACAAGGAGGAATTCAATTAGATAAGATATACATTACTATTAATAATTCAAAATAAATAAAAAAAATGATTTAAGGAGGAAACCCTTCTCAAACATCTATTTCCTAAATTGATATTTAGTATATGTTTGTATCATGAGGAAGATAGTAAATGTGAAATGGGTCATGTGTGTCACTGGACATATATACCAAGTCTGAATGTAAATTACAAGAGAGTGCATCTTACCCATGGCCTGATATGAGCCAAGCCATAAACTGTGGCAAGCAAAACTGCAAAACTGCTTGTGCAATTGGAACTGCAGGATGTGTAATCTGCACAGCTGACTTATTCTGCAGCAGAAGGTAAATATAAACACATTCTNCACAGTTGACTTATTCTGCAGCAGAAGGTAAATATAAACACATTCTTTTTTTTTTTTTAAAAAAAAAAAAACCCAATTATATCGACAAGAGTGTAGGCCTTGATGCAACTGTAAGGTTTACTTTATTATGACTTGGTTGTTACAGGTTAAATTCGGGAACAATTTTTTGCATTCACGGTTAAAAATATATACATCTGATCCTTTAATGATCCCGCAATAACAAGAGCCTCGTGTACCAACCACCAGGCCTACCCTCCCTTTTTAACTCAATGACAGAACAATGAAGAGATCAAAGCTACAAATTAACAAGGGCACTCAGAACTTACAGACAAGGGAACAAATCCAAAATTCATGTAGGGCTGGTAGTAGGAGATCATTTTGGATGCCAATCGGCTCACTGCATGCACTGTGCTGACACGACACATTCTTTTCTTCTCGTATCTATAAATTATGAACCATTAAAATCATGGAGATTAGAGGATCATTATTTTTTGCAAAACAAGGATCAAAATTTTATTTCTATGTATAGTTTTTGTTAACTTTTCGGCAAGAGAATAGAAATAGAAAAAAAAAAAAAAAAGTTTTGGTCGAAGCAAAATGGAATTTTGATGTTTACTTGAGAGTAGTTTGGGCATTTTTGTTTAGTGTAGACCAATCTTAAGGAACACAGCCAAATGGGGATAGCCGAGTTAGCTATCCTTGACACTCCCAAGTACGAGGTTCAGGGGGTCAATCGTCGTCAAAGACATGAATTAATTTATTCTGTGTTTCTCTCTTAAAGTGTAGCAATCTACCTAGTTTCTTTTCTCTCTCTCTCTGAGGTTTCTTATGCTCTTATTTCGAACTAATAAATTTGGATTACGTTGTAATACTGATGAGACTTGTAATAGCAATCAATCATGTCATACCAAATAAAAAAGGGAAGACTAGAACTATCTCTAGGATCACAATTGGAGATTCTAAATATGCACCAAGTACCTTTTAAATGCTGAGGCAATTTCATTAGCTAGGCAAACATCAGAGCTTCTTTTGGAAACTTTTTCAAGCTCAAGTATAAGTTGGTAACAGTCCTGCAAAATTGCCAAATGAAATAAGCTTCAGCAGCAGGAAATCTTTTGCCTAAGTCTAGCTTTCAATCTACTTTGTCCAAGTCCAATGTCCTTAGAATCTCAACTTCATTCGGTTTTAGAAATTGGATTACCTACCGAATTGAGAGAGTTTTAGTTGTTGTAGTAAACTTGCATAGATTTGACACCTTTTGGATAGTTGTAGAATTCATCCTCAACGCCAAGACGTAGTCATTGACCCAATCATTGAATAACTAGTACTCAATCGCGAACCAAACTTCACGAGCATTTTGGGTAGAGGTGGGTTTGATAATGGCATGAGAGACATTAGCAGAAACAGTAGGCTAAATCCAGGATAAAACGATGTACTCTGCTTGAAAATTTGTGAATAGGGTCGACTATTTGATGACCAGATCCATTGGTGACAATATATGTGGGGGGGATATATAAATAGAAGACTAGTAGATATGGTCAGAGACATCATGACCCTTAAGAAGGGAAAGAAAGAGTTCACGCCAAACAAGGTCGTAGTTTCTATTATTGGATATGCCAAGTAGGGGATACAATGAATTGGGAGATTTTGGAATTTGTGATATAGAAGAGGAGGAGGAAGATAGAACAATCGAAGAACTAATGGAAGCCATTGAAGAAAGCGCCGGGGGGGTGGGGGGTGGGGATTGTCATAGGTGCTGATACCATGTAGAATAATGAGAAAACCACCTTACTAATGTTCATGTATTCACTTCTATATCTTATAATGTAAGTACAAGTTACAATGAATAATATGTAATTTGGGTGGTAGTGATGAGAGGTTGTTTAAACAAAAACAAACCTCAATTGCCATGCAACCCCCTTGGCCAAGATTTGGCTGCATAGGATGTGCAGCATCACCTAGCAGGGTCACACGTCCGATGCCCCAGGTATAGATCATGTCTCTATCATAAATGTACCTCCGTAAGATCATATGCTCTGGTGTTTCTGAAATTAGTGTTTTCACTTCATCACACCAACTCTCAAATAGTTTTAGAAGTCTCTCTTTTTTACCTGCATCATCAAAGCTAGTCAAGTACCGACCCTCAATGTTTTTTCAACTTTTATTTCTTTCTTATACTTTTAATTAAGTAATTTTTTAAATAGGATTTTTTTTTCCTTGTCCGGTTTACTCCTTTTTATAAGCTGAATTGCATATATATGTTTATATTACCTTCATAAACTAAGAGTCATATCCAACACTTGTCTCATATGAAAGATGTTTTGCGTTTATGACAACGTTACATTGTTATTTAAAAAAAGGCTACCAAATACAACGTTACATTTTCGAATGGAATTTGATCATAAGCACAAGTCTGTATTGCAATAATGCATTGTAATGAATTTGAATTGAGAGAGAGTTGCCTGAAGGAGGATCAGAATTGATGGAGTGCTCTTTATGGAAGGCATACCACTGCATCTTCCCCTTCCCAACATCCACAGCAACAAGGTACTGGTTCAATCCCAAGAATACCCGATACCTTCATTAAAATACAATAATGTTACACTTGCCACCTTTCTACACCACCTTAATATGATCTATTAGATTAATGGGTCTTATTAAGTTTATTAAAGGTTCAATGATTTCGATAATGAGACATTAGATTAGTGACAATGAAGTAGTACACAAAGGTGTTTGCACGTCATTATTGTACCAAATAATACGACGAATGCAAAAGCATGGGAAAAAATATGCTCATTAGGTAGTTTTCCCGTCACCTTTTATTAAACTACCAACTACTCAAAAAGTTTAAACTCGAAGAGAAGAGTTACCCAATAGAATCAATATAAGGTGGTACAAAATTTGTTAGTCCACCGTAGCATGTGTAATTTGAATATTTTGCTTCTTGTGTCCCAAATAGTTTTGATCGTACCTACAAATGTGTGAAACAGAGCTGTGAAGCTAAATGATGTGGTGAAAACATAGTTTTTCGCCCCCAAAAGTATCTGCTTTTGTGTCAATTTGGTCCCGGATCTTTCTTATTGTGTCAATTTAATCTCCCATAGTTTGAAATTTTGTGTTTAAATGATCCAATCCCAAACGACAGTCCAGAAAACACGACGAAAGTTGTCATGTGCACATAGTGGCTGACGGGTTTTTCCAAAAACACCCTTCTGAACAGATCATATTTTATGGATGGTGATTTGTAATTTGACCATTTAAACACAAATTACAAACTTTGGGCACTAAAGTGACACAATGGAAAGATAGAAAGACCAAATCGACACAAAGCTCATATATTAGAAGCCAAAAATATATCATACCGTGAATAATGGGGAGGAAAAAGAATTGGTTCATAAAAGCGATGTACCGAAAAAAAATCCAAAAACAAAAAAATAAAAATTGCATACTTTGGACCAGATCCCATCCGCCCCAACCAAAATATCGCCTTCATATTGCAGTCCATCTTCAAGGATCACGGTAACCTACAAAATATTAGAAGGAATCTGAACTGAATATCGAACTGAATTACAATTTACAATTACATGTTACGACATTTCAAACCTTTTTATAGTCTTCCACAAAGTCCACAACTTTAGAATTGTTATTCACTATGTCTTGCCCTACTGCATTGAATAAGATGTCCTGCAGTGTCATTCTACTTATTACTTGAGTAACAGGAAGCCCACTTTTCATAGCTGGAGTCAATAGATCAAATGTGGCAAACCTGAACAAATTGCAAGGAAGCAATTGTAAAATCACTGTTTTTCAATTCCCATGTTTGAAAATGTGTTGTACCTGACAATTTATGTTTCAAATTTGAAACTCGATCTAAAGTTAAGGTGTAAATGTACCGTTTGATAACGCATTTAATCATAAACTAATTCGGATATCCCTGATTATTGAAACCAAAAAAATAAAGAAGATGACACATTTGTGCATGTCATCTAATCAAATGCTGAACTCATAACTAATTGATAATGAATGGAGAGCCCGTTAAACATATAAACTTAGCTTAGATAGCCGGTGAGTAAAATCTCTTACCCTTTTGAATTTTTCGATATGTATAACTTAAGCACCATGAGTGAGCATGAGTCCCTATGAGGAAGGTTGTAAAGAAAGCTATTTTTTATATCTAATTTAGTGATCTTATCTAGTGACATAATGAATCATAGCCATTAAATTGATAATGGGTTCCAACTAATAATAAGAGCTACTGTCAATGAGAATGATTAGGTCACCAACTAAGATCATTAAATAAGGTTCATGTAACATTGCCTTACAAGAAATGAGTAGGACTACCCAACATTTGTTTATATGATTAACATTTATTTTGAGGGGCGAAATGTATTTTATATCCTGTAAAATTTTTAAAATTTTATTTTATACCCTCAAAAATTAAATTTTTTACTTTGTACCCTTAATATATTAAAATTATTATAATGTGACCTTTTCGTTATTCATTCCGTCAATATCAATAGAATGAGTTTTGACAGAATAAACGACAGGAGTGTCACATTATAATATATTTAATACATTAGTGGTGTAATACGACAAATTTCAGCTTTAAAAGTACAAAGGAAATAATANTCAATAGATCAAATGTGGCAAACCTGAACAAATTGCAAGGAAGCAATTGTAAAATCACTGTTTTTCAATTCCCATGTTTGAAAATGTGTTGTACCTGACAATTTATGTTTCAAATTTGAAACTCGATCTAAAGTTAAGGTGTAAATGTACCGTTTGATAACGCATTTAATTATAAACTGATTCGGATATCCCTGATTATTGAAACCAAAAAAATAAAGAAGATGACGCATTTGTGCATGTCATCTAATCAAATGCTGAGATTTTAAGAAATTGAAGGATGTGCTATTGAATTTTGTTAATATAATTTTCTCTAAAAGCTTTAAGTTGTTAGAGAAGAGAATGACATAAATATTTATTTAATATTTCCTTTCACGGGTGACCCTTCTTTGGGTGGTTCATTCACATGATTTTTTTTTTGTCTTGTGTTATAAGAGGGAAGATGTGGTATGATTCAAACTCGGATCTTTGACTTTGACACTATATTATTAAATTCAACTCATAACTAATTGATAATGAGTGGAGAGCCCGTTAAACATATAAACTTAGCTTAGATAGTCGGTGAGTAAAATCTCTTACCCTTTTGAATTTTTCGATATGTATAACTTAAGCACCATGAGTGAGCATGAGTCCCTATGAGGAAGGTTGTAAAGAAAGCTATTTTTTATATCTAATTTAGTGATCTTATCTAGTGACATAATGAATCATAGCCATTAAATTGATAATGGGTTCCAACTAATAATAAGAGCTACTGTCAATGAGAATGATTAGGTCACCAACTAAGATCATTAAATAAGGTTCATGTAACATTGCCTTACAAGAAATGAGTAGGACTACCCAACATTTGTTTATATGATTAACATTTATTTTGAGGGGCGAAATGTATTTTATATCCTGTAAAATTTTTAAAATTTTATTTTATACCCTCAAAAATTAAATTTTTTACTTTGTACCCTTAATATAATAAACTTATTATGATGTGACCTTTTCGTTAATTTTCGTTATTCATTCCGTCAATATCAATAGAATGAGTTTGACAGAATAAACAACAGAAGTGCCACATTATAATATATTTAATACATTAGTGGTGTAATACGACAAATTTCATCTTTGAAAGTACAAAGGAAATAATCTTAAGACTTTTCTCCTATTTTTAGTTAGAGTATCGCTTTCCACAATCCTTTGGAAGGATTTGCCATTGGATCTCCCAATCAGAAAAACAAATCATGGGTTTGAAATCCTACAACTTTAGCAAAACAAGTCACCAACAACCACAACTTACAAAACAGTAACACTCAAAATTCAGACATTGAACACGTAACATTTTTTGATCAAAAAAAAAAAAAAAACACGTACCATTTCCCCGAAAGGCCATCGGCAAAGCCATTGATCCTATTGCCAGTAATGCAACCTTCTTCCACGATCCGCCTCGCGACATCCTTATCAATGGCTTCCAACACTGCCATGGCATTACTAGACAGTTGAATTGGACCACCATCCCTACCCTCACCTCTCACTGCACTCGACTCTTTCTCGAACACCTTCACGTCGAATCCTCGGTGTTTCGCTGCCAGAGCCAGCACTAGCCCCCCAATACCACCACCAGCTATCAAAACTCGAAGCCTTTTGTTCTCATTCTTCTCTTCACACCTTATACTATACCTTCTCATATAGAACGTCTTCACTCTAAATTCTTGTGATCTAATAGAACGCCGGTGGTGGCTACAAGAACAGAGGTATTGAAGAGAAGCCATTGACTAAGAACAGTTATAGTTTCTCTTATGTATGGTCTTATGTTCTCTTATATATTTACGTGTAGTAATGAGATTTATGACTTAAATGGTGTTGGAGATGAAACCAAGTCAATCCTATTGTTATGTAACTTGTTTGGGCAAAATATAAATTTTAGTCCCCAAATTATGTTATTTGTGTTGTTTGGTCCCTAATCATTTTACTGTACCAATTTAGTCCCTCATTTATTCAAATTGTATCATTTTTGTCTAATCGAAAATGGCGGTTTCGATTGACAGATAGAGATGGTCATGTATATCTCACGGGACCACACTTGAGGAGTAATTTTTGGAAATGTAAGGGATTAGAGGGACACCAATTGCAAACGTAAAAGACCAAACTAAATGGTAGACATCATAAACTAGAGAGACAGAAAAACTGCTTGAGTAGAGTCATGTAAGACATACGTGAATATCTATGTTAACCAACTAAAACTGTCATTTTTTATTGGACCAAATTGACACAAATTAAAAACTTAAGTGACACAACCGAAAGAATGAAAACGAATTGAGGCAAATGCATACTTTAGGAATTGCTATTAAATTTTAACCCAATTTGTTATTATGTTTAGTGATTTTATTATTAATAAATTACTGAGTTGTAGTTCACCCATGATAAATCTAGATGCTTTGGAGTATTTTATTATAAGTAAGATTCATTTAAGCTTCAAGTCTTCTCTGTTTGTAGCGGAAGATCTGAAGCAGAAGAATACATTTTAGCTTCGGCAGTTTCTTCGATCCCATTCTGCTTTATTGTTTTGTTACTTCAAGTTTGACTTTGATCAATTGATTGTGTCATTATTTTGATTACCCTGGAGTGCCAAGGTCTGTCGTAGAGCCGTTCTAAGCGAAATAATTTTTAGCAAGTAGCATCAGAGTTTATGAGGGACAACGTTGGTTGAATTTTCCGGCATTGATGATGGCTCTTAAAGAAAGATATAATGGATTTTTGTAGTTGATGCTACAATGTCGCAATGGAGGTCACTGAGTTACTGGGCTAAAATCCACGCAATAACTCACTGACCATTGCGACAGCATAGCACAATTACAAAAATAGTGAACTGAATGACCCGTGGATCCTGTACGAAGTAAGGTAAGACATAGACCATGATGCAAATGCACAAGCCCAACCACATATTGTTAATTGGGTATCGTGATTAAACTTGTCAAAATTTGACACGACACGATTAATCGACGTGAATTAAGCGAGTTTGAGCAAAAGTTTAATGGGTTTGGATGATAAATGGGTTGACTAGCCCAACACGTTTAAAAAGAAAGAAGATTAAAATAGATACTTGACTTACATAAACCTATTAAGAGTCTTGATGAGCCCATATCTAACCAGGGTAGGTCTAATAAATTAAGTAAACTCAAGTCAAGTAAAAGACAAGTCAAGTCCAGTTCGTAAATCTAACTCAACCCAAGTTTCATACAGTCCAAGAAGAATTAGAGCATATAGGGAACAATTATCGGGATACTCACTCTCGAAGATTAAGACAACTTTTTATGATACTTATCTTTTGTAGCCATTCAGAGAATTAGTATCTTTGTCCTCATGGCATCGCCTTAACTAAAGCTCTTGTCTATAAGTTGTAAGTTCTCTTTACATGAGAAGGCACAACTTTACACCTCTGGAGACACCTCTCTACAACTCTTGAGATCTCTCTACACCTTTCTTCACACACATAACTTCTCTATCTCCTAGTTATTGTATCCCTCTCGGAGCTAACCATTGTTCTCTCTCTCGTTTACCTTATTATTTTATCAATAAAGATCCTTGGCCACCGTTGCCGTTTTCCCGAGTGGAGTATCTCACCCGCTTCGAACTACTATATATCTATGTGTTTACTTGATATTTATATTATTGTTATTGATTATTCTATTAATTATCCATTAATTACACTTTATCACACACTCGATTATTAATCTTGCATGAGACTAGTTTGTTCATCATCAAGTCTCACAAAGAAAAATGGCTTCATTCTTGTCTAATAAATTTTTTCGTTATTGTTTTCGAAGGCAAACGAGATACATCAAATGTCAATACTACATGGGTAAAATAAACTTTCACAAAGATATATTTATGTACTCTCAAATAGTAATAATATTTTGGCTGTCAAAATCATAAGTTTAAGGGTTTTTTGGAAGCTGGTACACAAAATTAGACTTAATTGCCAAAAAATATATAAGAAAAAATGTTATGTAAAAATGTTCACTTAAGACATAGATTAAATACCCTTTTATTGTAAATAAGTTTTCTAAAAACGATTTTGAAAACTATCCCCATATTTAATTATCTTCGTGTTTTTGGAAACTTTTGAAATATGACAATTAAAATGAATTAATTTTAATTATCTTATTTGGAGAGTACTAAAATTAAAGAATTTTGGTCACATATTTGTGTGTTAATATATGTATAATTATATACATACATACATATAATATTACGAAGTTACACTATGAAGTCTAGTTTCTATTACTCTTACACTATTTTGATACATTGTATTGATACAGTTTAAAAGGGTTTATAAAATTAAAGTGTATCAATACAGTGTATCAAAATAGTGAACGAGTAATAGAAATTAGGGTTTAAGAATTACACAAATTTAAAGTGTATTAATACAGTGTAAGAGTAATAGAAACTAAGCTTTATAGTGTAACTTCGTAATATTATATGTCTTTATATATATATATATATATATATATATATATATATATATTTATTACTTTAGAGTTGGTTACTAAGTTATGAGGCTAAATTTTCATAAAAATGTTACAAAAAATTGAGCTCGAGTTTGGTTCAAATGTGCACAAAATTCTATTGAGCTAAGTTTGAGCAAGAAGTGTCACATTGTAATATTTTTGATACATTGAGAGTATAATATGAAAAACTTAATTTTTGATTGTGCAAAGTGAAAATCTTGAAATCTTTTAGAATGTAAAGTACAATTCTCCATATTCGGGTGAACAAATCATGACTCATAATTTAGTAAACAAGCGAGAAATTTTTGGCGGCCTAAAATGTTACCATACATGTGACAATTTCAGAAGTACCTCGTCATTATTGACAACAACTAAAAAGTAGGATACATTTAAATAGAAAGCTAAGGAATTCATACTACATAACAATGCATGGAGATGGGACCCATGGGACAGCAACATACAAAACAAACAGCTAAGACCAATTACAATACAACATAACTAGCCAAAATAATAATGAGATAATAGATCATGCTATAGTTTCCGATATCAAAAGTACATTTGTATGACCCTTCACTATAGACGAGCTATAAACCTTAATNTATATATATATATATATATATATATATATATATATATATATATATATATATATATATATATATATTACAAGAGAGATATGTTTAATGGCGAATATAATGACAAAAAAATTTAAAATTCAAAATGGTTAAAATATATACAATCAACGTTAGATGCAATTTTGTGATAATATAATTCTTTCATTATATTAGGAAATTTTTAATACAATAAAATAAAATCAAAAATCAACTTAACTGCCAAAAAGAAATATGCATGATTTAAGATCTATCATAATATTAAGAAATCTTTAATACAATAAGATAAAATTAAAACTCAATTTAACTACCTAAAAAAGAACGCATGATTTAAGGAAAATCCGCCATAATATTAGGAAATCTTTAATACAATAACATACAATCAAAACTCAACTTAACTACCTAAAAAAAACGCATGATTTAAGAGAGGACAAATATGTCAAAGGAAAATAAAAAAAAGTCAAATTGTGTACTTGAACACAATTAAGTTCTAAAAAAATTGACTTAATTACCTAACATTAAAAACTGTGTACTTTTTGACAATTAAGTATACCCTTTTACAATTTTTCGTAAGTTTAATTGTAATTGATAGGTCCGGTCCAGTCTGTAATTGACCCACCTTAAATATATAAGTCAAGCCCACCATAGACTGCAAATGGGTGTTTAAAATTAAGATGGACTCCAAAGGTAAGATTAAAAGATTTAAAGCTAGATTGGTAGCAAAAGGGAATAACCAGAGGAAATGTATAGATTTTAATGAAACTTTCTCACCTGTCTCTACTAAAGATTCTTTCAGGATCATTATGACATTATTGGCTCATTTTGATCTTAAACTTCACCAGATGGATGTGATGAGAATTTTCCTGAATGATGAGTTTAGTGAAGAAGTTTATATGATGTAGCCTGAGGGTTTTCAGGAGAATGAGAAAAAACATTTAGTGTGCAAGTTGAAGAAATCTATCTATGGTTTCAAACAAGTTTCTCATCAGTGGTACTTGAAATTTGATGACATAGTAAGTTTTCTTGGTTTTGTTGAGAACAAGATGGATCAATGCATATATGTTAAGGTTAGTGAGAGAAAGTTTATTTTTCTTATTCTTTATGTTGATGATATTTTGCTTGCAAGAAATTATTTGAGCTTATTTCATGAGATTAAGTAATTGTTGTGCAAAATATTTGACATGAAAGATTTTGGGGAAGCATCTTTTGTGTTAGACATTCAAATTTATCGAGATAGGAGTCGTGAATTATTGGGACTTTCTCAATGGGCATATATAGATCGTGTGCTTGAAAATTTTAATATGCATAATTTTAAGTTTGGGGATATATCCATTGTGAAAGGTGACAAATTCAGTCTAAGCCAATGCCCTAGGAATGATCTCGAGGAGTTGTCTATGAAAAATATACCTTATGCGAGTGTTGTCGGCAGTTTAATGTATGCACATGATTGTACCAAGCCTGACATTACTTTTGTAGTTAGTGTTCTTGATAGATATCTTTTCAAACTAGAATTAGATCATTGGGTGACAACTAAGAAAGTTATGAGATATTTGCAAAGAACAAAAAAAATTACATGCTTGTTTATAGGAGAGTTGATAGTCTTGAGGTGATTGGTTCAGATTCATATTTTGCTGGGTGTCATGATAATTT